CGATCCCATTTAATTTGCTAAAACCATGCCTCGAGCATACGGCGAAGATTTAAACTGGCGAGCAGTTTGGATGACGCAAGTTCTGGGTAATTTACCCGTTATCCTTTTCGGTCTAGGCGCGTAGGGATGATCCGATCAACGACAACGTTTAGTCAAAGGACTGTATAACGTCAGATGCTTGTGTTGGCATTAGCACGGTAGCAGTGGCTAGCAAAAGCGTACTCTATCGAACCGACTAAGGGTATACACACCTGTGAAATTAGCCATGTGAGGTTGCAAGTACAGCTTGGCCAAGTCAACAGCAGACGTAACATTGTAGTTGTGGTTTTTTTCTTTCTTTATTGTGTTATTGTTGTTTATGCTACGATAATTCAATGCTTTGTATCCGTCATAAACAAGCTGCCCTCCGTGGACTTGGTTGTCGATGTGGTTGCTGGCCTTCAGGTTAGTGTAGTGGTCCAGTATATTCGGTTCTAAGAACTTTCGCAAAGGCGGAAGAAGAACAATGTTCAAGCAGATGCCAATCACCAACCATCGCTTTTGGTTTTCAGTCAAGTTAAACGTTGAACCTACAGCCTGTTTGTAAGACGTATAACGAAAAGAACTTCTTACAAAATGTTTTACGTGAATTAAAAAGAGATATTCAATAAGACAATTAGAATAGAGAGGCAATCATTCATTGCGTAGCAACTAATTTGTTCTTTGAGGAAATCTTTCTTAAAATGCCATCGTTATCTTGTAGTCATTTGTTCGTCCGTTGTAAGTTTGCACATGAAAATTTCAGTGACTTAATTAGACAGCCGCATTTTTCTGTTAAAATTGCCAAAATTCCTCAGTTTTTAATTTATCTCAACCTTCCAAAACCTCAGCTCCTTTCCTTGATACAATCTTGTCTTTTCTACATCGATTTTTAAAGAATTTTTAGAGAACAAGCAGAGATTCCAGCGAAACGTTTGTTTTTCGCTATTAAATGTTAGTACGTTAATAGCCAATCAGATTGCAGGATTCGTGATAGTATTCTAGCAAGTTTATGCCAAATAAATAAATAAATAAATAATATATATATATATATATATATATATAAAAGTACAAAACATATCCCCTAACCTGGATTTCATATTGTCGTATAAAGTCACATTCCGAATCTTCTGTTATGTAGCTCGTATCAGAGAAAGATTCAGTAGAAGACATCGTGAAAAAATCAAGCAAAAACGAAAGAACCTAAAGTTGACCTTGAGAGTTGTTGTACTATAATGACGTCACAGAATACTCGGTACCAGATCCCCCGGAACACGGACGTGGTTCTATTAAACTCAACTTTGCAAGACGATAAAACTTCAACGGAAAGTTACAAATGAATTATTTTTATGCCAAAGAGCTTAAAATTATCTACAAAATTTATTAACACGATAAAAAATTTTGTGTTATAGGCACTTTAAAATTTATGAAATCAGCCATATTTTGTTAATACCCACTTACTTGTCTTGGGAACCAGAATATATATGCCTCCTCCTTAATCACGTTATCTAGAATTGCAACGTTCTTGTCACACCTTGGTCGATCAACGATCAACTCTTCCTCGTTCACGAAGTGAAGGCATGAATCCCGGTTGCATCCCTCCATACCGTGAAACTTGCATTTGTTTGGTGAGCTTGCACAAACAGGACAGAGTATTCCATACTCGAATGGCATGTTTTGCATCCAAGGAAAGTTTCGCCGCATGTCAACAAAGATTTGATCAAGCAATTTACGAAAGTGCTGGCAGAACTCAGTGACGTGTTGCCCATCGATGTTCTGCTGGTTGCTGACTGTTACACTGATTGTTCGAATGCTGGACTGAATGACAAAGATATCAAGCTTTCTTTCTTTACCAATATCGAAAATCCTAGAAAAAGAGAAACTTAAATATTTCACTGGACTACAGTGCATGAATGATCTTTACCTAAGAGAAAGAGAGGGAGAGTTGAAGAGAAATACAACTGAAAATAGGTAAACCTAATACTGAAATACTGAAAATCCTAGGAAACGAGAAGCATATTATTTCACTGAACTAAAGCGCACAAGTGATCTATATCTGAGAGAGGGAGAAGGGCGGAAGGGAGAAAGAGACGGAGAAAGGAAACGTAGAAAGGAAATGTAAACTGAAAATAATCAAAAATTGATACCTGTAGAAGTTCTTGTAAAGTTTTGGTTGTCGTAGCTTTGGCCATCTTTTCTTTGCTTCCGCAGCAATAGCTACAAAAAGCCTAGGAAAGATACCTAGTGATACATGGGAAGTGTTGAAACGAATGACCATTGTTGACGACTTCTGATGTCTTAGACACATCGCGATGTCCTCCCGCTTCTCACTGTTACACAACATACAGGGAACAAGGTACACTTCTTCTCCTTCGCTAGTATTCCAACGGCAAATAAGTGAGAACTTCTCCATAATTAAAACAAGAGAATCAATTGTGTTTTGTTCATCTACTAAACCTTTCCATACGTGCTCCACCAAGGCTCTTTCCATGACACCTTCTTCCTCCAGTTTATCCCAGGACTTGTGAAAGCCATCTCGCTTCTCAACTGGCCTGACCTCGATGACCTTTGTAAACACTTTGACCAGCCATTCCGTATCAATGAATACTTTCTTAGTCTCCTCAAAGTAAATAATAGTCTTCAAATCGTGCAAATAGTTTAACAAGGTGGGGAACTCTTTGGATTCGACACTGGTGTTCACCTTACACTCATTGGCTATCTTCAAAGCTTCATCGAGCGTGATGTATTTTTTGTTTTCCTTCTCTACAAGGTTTGACAGCTCCTCCTCAAACCACAGCCAGTTGATAGGAATATCTTCATTCATATGGGGAAGAGATTTTGACAATTCTTCAATATCTGCCTTGAGTTTCATGACGGACTCATCTCTTATTTCTCCATTACCAGATACACTGTTATTCACGGTGTAGATTTGGTTGCTTATGACATGACAGCCAGATGGGTTTTTGCTTGGACTTAAATATTTGTATATTTCGCGGATGATCTGTCTTGCAGCTTCAAGATTACCATCAAACTTGTCTGCATGAGTCCCGACTATGAAAACAGGAGGTAATGAAAACCCGCCTATTTTTGCCATTCTCTGTGCATCTGTATAGGAAGAAATGCCGGACAGCCATAACTCCAGATTTTCCAAGTTTGTCATCTCAAAGGGATCTACGAGTTCTCTTTCTGCACCATCTTCCTGGACTATGGATTTCATGGGGTCATGTGGAATGTTTTTTAAATTATAAACTAGAATGAAAACTGCTTTCGAAGTTAGAAATATGGGATGGATGACATTGTACACAGCCTGACCACCAAAGTCTAGCGATTTAATATACACTTCATTCTCTTTCGTCTTATCACTCAGTTTGGTATTCATTGGATGGATGACCTTGTGGACAGCCTGACCAGCAAAGTCTAGCAAACTCAGTTCGGAATCCATTAACTTCACTAATTTTTCTTCAATAGATTTTGGGAGATTTGCAGTACTTTTCTCGCTAATATATTCTCGGTTTTCCAGCTTTTTAGCTTCTTCATTTATTTCTTCAGAATCAACTTTTCTTGCTTTAATTTTGCCATCATCCTCATCATCCGCGTCATCATCATCAGCATCGTTATCCTCGTCGCGATCATCTTCATCATTTTTCGTGTTTTCATCATGTATTTCTTTGCTGTCATTTTCGCCTCGAAGATTCTTATGAATAATATCGGCCATGCAGTCCGTGAATGAGATACCTTCGTCACTTTCTTTACTCCAACAATTTTCTTGTGACTTGCAAAATGTGTGCTGCAGATGAATCCCCTCAGTGCTGTCTTCTTTTGGGTCAAACTTTTCTCCTTTAAAACATAATTATACAAAAGCCACGTTAATTACATTCAAGTATATTCAATATTTTGTGTTGATACCTTATTCCGATTTCATATTTTTAAGATACTTATTATCTTATATAAACTTATAAACTTATATTTTGCAACCACTACTTCCCGTACAGGGCTCTTCCGTGAGGTTCGCTCCAAACGCACTACCACTACATTCTATATTCTATATTGACAACATACAACACCTCAACTCACATGTTTATTTTTACGGAGGGTGGAAACCGGAGAACACTTCCGTGGCAAGGGAGAGAACAACACATCAATCTAACTCAACTCATATATAATCCAGTCATATATCCATATATCCAGTCCGCGGAGCCAGGGCTCGACCACGGAACACAGAAGTGAAAACTGCCCCTACTCCACCCATAAAGGTTCTTATCTGTAAGTGCTTATCTGTTGCATTTTTCATATCCTCATCAGTAGTGTACCGTTTAAAGATTTCAGTAAGCTCGTCTTTCCTGCACGTGCCGGTCCCACTACCATAACAGGTAAACGCCGATTTTTTGTTTTTCCACTTTCAAGAGCTTTTTCATACGCTTTCAGTGCTTCTGGACCGCGGGCGAGAATTTCACTAGGTATCGTATCATCTACAAGGAAAATAGATTTATAAGATTAGCGATCATTATCATTACTTACTCTCCTCATCCCCTATTTCCCTCACCCTGTCGGATATCAAAATCATTGAAGAAACAATGGGATGGGAAAATGACGAATCTTTGTCTCTTCGAAAGCACTAGAGGAGGAAAGTAACTATATTACAGAGGGTATCATCATTAGGTCAAAAGCATGAACAAGGTGAAAAAAATACAAAATATTTTTTGAATCTAGAAAAGAAAAATATAACTAAGACGCATGTTAGGAAATTAATAAACGAAGATGGTACTGAAACTCCAGATCCGAATGAAATACTTAAAAAAGTGAAAGATTTCTTTCACTCCATCTTTAAATCCAAATCCGAGAAAACAGAAAAAAAGAGTGTCAAGATTTCGTTTCCAATTTGAAAACCCCATCTGTATCTGGATTAACTAAAGAAGAATGTGGAAAACCAATGGCAATCGAGGAGTGTTTAGAGGCCCCCAAACAAATGGGTCGGTCCAAGACCCCCGGTAATGATGGTTTTACTAAAGAATCTTTAGATTGTAGCTTTGAAGTGGGTTTCTTGTCAACAACACAAAAATAAATTTTAATAAGAAACCTAGCAAAGATAGTAGAAATTTGGAAGCTTGGCGACAGATCAGCCTAATCAACGTAGACGTTAAAATATGTAAAGATAACTAGCTAAAAACTAGTGTTAAAATATGTAGCAAAGTTCTAAGTAACTAGAATGATTGAAAAGCCGAATTCCTGTGACGTAATTTCTATGTTTAATTTTGTATAGAAAACATGGTTTTGACGTCATATCTATGTTTCTATACTCTGATAAAACATAGCTTTTCAGCCAATCAGAACGCGCGTTCGTGAAAATCTATTATATAATGTTTGTTTATTTGTTTGTTCGTTCGTTTGCTTGTTTGTTCGCTTGTTTTATTTTATTTTTCATTTTATTATTATTATTTTTGTTATTATTCATTTATTT